AATTAACTGTCTGGTTTCTTCAACTTTCACTCAGGAGAAAAAATCTGCTTTTAAACTTGAAAGAAATAATGATTTGACATTTATCGTGATAATTATCGATATCGACTGATATGAAACTTTTTATCGTGATAATGTTTTTGGCCATATCGCCCAGCCCTAAGCAGAAGTGACTGAGAACAATGCACCATGACAGAGCAGGCTGTGGGGACCCATGGCAAACCAATACGCTCAACACTGTTGAGATGCAATGGTAGCCACAGCTAAGAGGATGTTCCTTGACTTACCTGCTTAGGTAAAGATTTCAGGTCAAATCAGTTTAGGCAGGGCAGTTATTGAACAGTTGTGAGAAGAGTGGTAAAAGAAACTGAATGAACTCATTAGTGGACTCCAGATTCTGATTTTCAGTCATTATTTTTGCTGGTAAATATGTGCATGTGACGGAATGATCCAGGTAAACAGCAGCACTGAAAATGAGGTGCATGACTAAGTTACTTCCCGGCACATGTGGGTGTAGCCTACTTACGCTGGTCTACTTTTCATACTTGCTTTTGTGTCATCGGCAACCTAGAAACTCCACCACACAGAGAAACGTTAAAGAAATGTCCACCTCCCAAACATTTAAACCTTGTGATATGCTTGTGAAATGGCTATGAGCAGAAAAAGGGCAAAAAACACTTTGAATACATCTGGACTGTTTCAAGTAAACTTCCACTTTATGGGAATGTCTTGGTCATGTCACTTGCCGACTGTGACTGAGGTTGAGATTCTCATGTGGTGTCACATTATTGGCTGAGGCAGGGTGGGATTAGCTGACCATGGATCTCTGGGCTCTTAACAACATTGTAACCCCTGTGGCCATTGGCAGTGATATACAGTAGTACCTTTAGGTTAGGACACACCACTCCAGTAGTTAGCACTGTTTCTCTGTGGCTGGGGCCCAGGATGTGTTAATGAGGATGTGTCTGCCTACACTTTCTCATTCTTCCATGTACTGTATGTGATCACAGGGATCAAAGGTGCATGCAGCGATATGAAGATCCCAAAAATAGGGATTCCATATAGGATGAGTAAGACAAAAATGAATCAGCCTGGCCTAAAACATCTTTGTCCCTGAATAACAGGCCGGATGGAACTCACTTCAAGGTCATGGTGAAGCATTTCAGACTTCCACAAGTATGAGCACCACAACAATGACTAACATAAAAGTATCATTTCTTTGTTTTCCATCAGAGACAAAAAGTATACTGTTGTAACTCCATTATGTCTTATGACAAAGCTGTTGGCAGCACTAATCTCAGTTTACTGGCACAGGTTGTGATGAGGGAGGGGGATAAGAGCTCACTTCCTCACAGACACTACTGCTGTAGGCGAGGTGTCAAGCAAACGCAAGACTCACTGCAGCCTCTCAGCAATGACACCCACTACAGCACCCACAGTATCTCTCCCTGACAAAGCGTAGAGACTCAGAGCTGAAGTACATTCATAGTGAAGAGAATAAGCCCTTGATTCTGCATTGGTTTGAAGTGGAACAAGATAAACATCACCTCAAACATGCCCTGGGTTGTTCCTATGTGATTCAAGGACTCAAGAAAAAGTCTAATACAGTATGTAAACAGTTAAAAGAAGAAAAATCAACATTCTGAAACCTTTTCTTGATACATGTCCACATATTGCTACAGCTGTCCAAGTCAGATGCTGGTATATCCTGGCATACAGTACATTTGACCCTGTAATTAGTAAGTCCAGTATTTTTCAAGACACCAGCTTGCCTTCCTACACCATGATTGTGCACTGAAAGTTGGCTGTTTAACATCTATAATTACTTCCACCTGCTTCAGAAAAATCTATAGGCACTTCCAAGACATCAAGGTTTGGAGAAATGCTTCTAGCAGCTGCAGTGACATCAGCCTCCAGGGCCCTGCTCGCTACTGCCACACTGAACACCAACCAACCTCTTAAAGAAATAGGGGTTGTCTTCTCATTTCCATCATCTTGCAGTTCTTCCTGCTTGTGGTATTTGACAAGGCCGCAGACCCAATGTCTTCCATATCTAACTGATCTAACTGTGCACAACAGCAGGTAATGACAACAGTCAATGGATTCAATACACTGGACTGAAGTGCTTGCAGTTGCTGAAGCACTACTGATCAAAAGGCAAGTCACTCTTGTGATGCTGGTTCAAAAGCCACAACCCTGCACGAATAAATTGTTGTATTATTCCCATCAAGATGAGAAAGACATGTATTCTTGGGTGTGATTTGATAATGAAAAATATGGCATAGATCAGAGACTAGCTGTGTTTTTATTTTTCTCCCACATAAAACCACAGGACCCAATTTTAGTCCAATCAATGGCTAAAAAAAACAGAATGGATTTGATCTTCCCTGGCAATCTATGTCAGCATTTATGCAGTACAGTGCATAGAAATCTTCCTATAGCCAAGATGCAGAGCGTGGAAATATTTTTGGTCTTGCCAGTTTTATATTAGCAACATATAAATTTGGTATATGTTTGGTATATGAAGTAAAGCAGCACTGGTAGAGCTGCTTTACTTCAAGAAACTTGAATCTCAATTTCAGCCTCTTTTTCCAGCCTCCTCTCAGGGTACTGCTACTGAGTAAGGGTATGAAATAACAGTCATTTCTACCTGACTATTACACATGGATTTGATTTTCCCCAGCAATCTATGTCAGTGTCCATGCAAAAATAGTGGTTTTGTGACTAAGAAGTAAGATACCTCAGCACGGATTATCATATTCTGCCAAGGACCAGTCAAAATGTTCAAACTCAACTTGAAAAACATGGCTCCTACCCAGTTTCTTAAGGAGTCTAGATTTTTGTGAATTAATGTCTTAAACAAACAGTAAATGTACCTAACTGATAAGCACATTACAAAGTCTTGAAAAACAAATTGGTTGGGAGATTGAGAGATCACTATTGCTACCGGCACTAACAGCATGCTTTACTGCATCAGTAGTTAAACACTAAAGTGTTAACATTTTAATGTCAGTGGCTGCAATTGTGATTGTCATCAGCCTCCATTTGATGGACAAAATATTTTGAACTCTGGCAAAGTGATTTGAACAGGCTGACAACATCAATGCTAAGGCAAAACCGTCAAGAAGAATAAGACTCCTCCTACAGTGAATTACTGTAAGATTCTTTCTGGAGTGTAGTGTAGTGGCAAAGCGAAATGCATGTTGTGGAATTTGCTTAGTGCATAAAACTCTACCTGTATTCTGGCACTGTTGAACCAAAACCGTGTGCTGTTCTCTCATTATCGTACCGCTGTGGAGTTGATCTTAAATGAGATTCCTCCTGTTCTTTAGGACCCGTAGGTCTGGGGGGATTGTAGCCCTCCATACAAGAGCTGGGCACCTTTATGCTTCACAGTCTCTCTAAGATGTAGCTTGAACTGAATTCACTATTACAGGTGGATTTGGAGGTATTCTGCCCATTGCAACCTGGATTTGTCTTTGATGTTCTTAGATATAATCCCAGGTATTGACTTCAAACTGCTACACCACATTACAGTTAGGAGCTCAGGCAGTTTGAATGGCATGCAGTGCGTAGGCTGAAAGTCTGTGACTTGCATTCTTCCTCCATGCTATACTGATTTATCTTCCCAGTGTGGAACTCTTTGCATTTATGGGCATTTATTCCTACTTGCAACACAGTTGACCGTGTCTGCATCTCATCGGGATCTGCTTTCATCCTGACGTCACTCTGATACTGTGTCCACCCCTGTCCGCCTGGCTGATACCCAGATTAAATGCTGCTGGGTATCTAACATCAATATTTAGACATGCCTTGTTATTTGTAACTGGCACAGTACCATGGCAGTGCTTTACAGTAATGTATACAGACAGAGCAAAGAGTGTTTTTACATGCTTCAGATACCCCAAGGAAACAGCAGGGTACTTCATACTCTGCTAGACAGAACAAAACACTTACTCAGGGGTCTGAATGTGAGGGGGGTAGCTGTGGATTGTACAGTATATATCACTGACACTGACAGGATCGTGGCTCACACTGTATTCTTGACCATATATAACGCCATTGCTACTACACTTTTCTTTTAAAAAAAAACGGAAAAATGAACTATTTTGTTGAAAAGGAATAGAAATAAACTGTTCACACTGACTTGATTTAAGACCCTGAATTTTTTAACGAATTCAAGATCCTGAATGTTTTATGTGACCCTGGAGCAACATTACTGAGGTGTAATACTATAAATATTTTTTCTGACTACTGACAAGTTTAATTGTTACAGTAAAACGTGGTTGGTTCACATGCAGTTAAAGCTTTTCCTGCAGTTCATACAGTTAACAAATGCAGATAAACTCTGAGAAAGTCCTGCTTCTATTTGGAATTTTTACATCACACCAAAGATCCAGTGTATATCCATTGACAAAAGATGGATAAAATGTCAGGACAGACATATATATTTTAAAAATAATTGCTAAACTATGTTTGCTAAGAATTTGTACCTATTTCTTGTCCCTTTGCAGCCTACACATGCTGACACAGCTACCCACCTGAACTACTAAAGAATATGTCATGGTTTTAAAAGCATCAACAGTTCCTGTTGTAGTGAAACAAGACATCAACACATGAAACACAGAAACGAATTCACTACACTTTCAAACTCAGTATTGAGTGTACTGAAATAACTAGACATGCCATTCAAATCAATTGCTTCTCACTCTCTCTGGTACATCACTGGAAATTAAAAGTAAACAAGTACAGTATACACTCACAGCATGTTAGCACTTTAATCAAATCAGCTGTATTACCTGTATCACTATCATCAGTTATCACTGTACCAACGACTCATAAGCAAGATACCAAATGACATTTTTTAGTAGATTTCTGTATTTCCCCTTGCTTGCAACAGACTGCCGTACCTTGTAATACCAGGCTAAAAAACACAAAGCATGTGTTGTGTCAGAACAATCGGTCAGCATGTTGTCGGAAACAGAAACGAGGATTAGCGTTACCTAAACTGTGCGAACTGGTCTCAGCGCCGCACGGCAGGGTGATGAGGAAGCGAGCTACTCGCAGTGTCTTGACCCTGCCAGTGTGTCCGAATTCACGGGTCTCTCATCTCCCCAGCCCCGTCTGATAAGAGGAGATGGGAGAGGATTTCCGTCACTCCACATGCAATTCCCGGATCTGAGTGTCGGGGGGCGGATGGAGCGGAAATTCATAACAAGAAGCCAGCAAAGGAAAAGCAGAGCGCCCGGGTGACAAACAGGGGCTTCCTAACCTCCGACACGTACCGCAGAGGAAATGTTACAACCCACATATTGTGACAGACAACCGTTACACATGAGGAATACGCCATTTACAGTACAAAGATCAAGATTTCCTCCCGAAAGCCTGTTACAGCTATAATTGAAATTCCTCGTTTTGTACAAAAATGTCTATACTGCCATTTTAACATGCACACCGGATACATTTGTTGAACCTACACTACAAGTACAGTTTGTACAGTATGTAACATTTATTAGTGAAGTGCATTGCAGTCGCTGTATTGCACCATTTGAGTTATTGTTTTCTGCTTGTTTCTTAAAACCCAGACATTCTTATTTAATAAACACTGCATTCGTATATTCATTTATCATGACATGAAAACGTTTAGTACGAGCATCAGGCGAGAATGAATCGTTCAAACCCTCCATTACAACCTAGGAACAAAATAGACATACAACACTGTAGTTCTAAAAGCGTATGTGATTTACACACATGAAGAAGAATCCTAGCTAAATATGCGGTCCCCTTTCACTGCATACTTCCAGAGCCAATAAATCTGTAAAATTGCACAACCCTACATCTTTTTGCATTACATTTTGGGCACTGACTACACGTCTGCCTCACAATCTCTCTCACTGCACATTTCTATAAGATTAAATCATCCCTTCTGGTATATATTGTCACGTACAGTCCCGAAATGTTCAGGAATTTCGTTTTTAAATGCATTTTCTTACCTGTACCGTAATGCTGTCTGTTCAGCTGCACACACAAATCTGACGACGGAGTGCAGTCTTCTTTTACTACAGAAGAGCTGGTTAGTTAGTCCTCGTTCTCCCTTTCCTCGCACTTGCTCCGAGTCGTGCCTCCTGACAGTAATCCGGCGATGGTTCTGATAGGTTCCTTGTCTGCGGCTTGTGTTTATAACTGCCTCTTCGAAATGGCAGCAACAGCCTCCGTTTCCCTTTCCCCTCGTCTTCCACACCCCCCAAGCAAGCCGAGATCGGCAGACCACAGACAGAGCGTGCTGGCCCTCCTGCCTGTGGGACTGTGAGGCAGAAGTGCCTCATTTAGCGATTGAGAGCAATACCCGTGTATTAACAACAGTTAGTTTTTGTTTATCTCGCTGCTTTATGTGGGAAACACAATTGTGTAGCAGCTGTCCTCGACCTTGCAATAGATAACGCAGCATTTTCAGAGCACCCGGTCCGAGGTGCATATTGTAGGCAGTATACTGTAGGTGCGTAAATCTACACCTGTCTTGGAATGCGGTGAGAACTCTCTGTTAGCTCTGCACACTTTATTAGCCTGTGACAATAAAACAGTCTCAAAATGTCTGTACAATCCTGTTGGTCGGGGGATTTTATTTAACATGAAGGTGATTCAGTCGGTACTATGACAAGCCGTACAGTTAAAAAAAAAAGATTTGTATTCCAAGTGTTGTGAGAGAATGTTTTCATCAAGCTTGATGTTTAAAAAAATGTTTAAAACTGTTTTTAAATCCACTTCCAGTTAGTATCTGTATGAATCCTCATGTTCGTGTTTCACTTCATTTTGAAGATGTCCGCTGGTTTGACTTTATTATTAATGCCTTTGAGGATTTTGAATACTGGTATCAGATCCAATAAGTCTTATCTGTTCAAGACTAAAAAGGCTCAGTTCTTTTAACCTGTCATGTTGGACATTTTTTTTAGTCTAGGACTGTATCTGGTTGTTCTTTTCTGGACTGAAGTTAAGAACAGCAAAATCTCTTATTAACTTTCTGTCCAGAATTGGACAGAAATTGGAAATTGGACAGTATTCTAAATGGGGCCTATATGGTGCATTGATTTAAAATTGACACTTGTGACTATACAGGTTTTTAATTTGCTTTCTTATTGCTTCCCTACAACTCTTTTTCATAAGTAGCCTGTTCTAGGTAAGTGTTTCTGAATTTGTTTTTATAATTTATGTTTTTACTGATCTGCATAGCAAAGCCTGCACTTCTTTAGATTAAATGAGCATCTGTCATTTACTGTTGTGGAGTGCACTAGGTTTGCCAATATAGCCTCTTCTCACCTGTCAGTCAATGTCGGTTGTAATGGATTTGCAATCAGACAGGAGATGTGTATCACCTGAGGCAATTGCCTGCCTCAGGTAGTTCAGGTCTCTTAAATTTTGCTTGGACTATACTTAGGCTAGGAACAAGTAATAGGTTTATTCTATGCTGAAAAGAGAAGAAAGAAAACAAAACGTTTCGGCTGTGGAGCCTTCTTCAGTTATTACTTGTTCCTTTGCAGCCTACGCATGCTGATGTAGCTACCCACCTGAACTATAAAAACCTACTGTTGCTTGTTTCTATCTCAAGCACCAGATATGATAGACTATTACCTAGATGATCCTCTTGTTTATTTCTACAATTTTTTTTCTATTACTTTACATGTAATAGATGTCAGATTTATTGGTCTTTAGTTACTTGGGGCTGTTTTGTTTCTTCAGCTGTTTCTTGGGCTGTAGCTTTTTCCATATTTCTGTAGTGTTAAGTTCAGAGTATTCTCTGTATATGGGGTTAGTAATGCAAGTACCCATTTATATAGTGGGGTGGGCTAGAGCAACTATCAGGATACAACAGCAATGTCCACAACAGACTTGAACATTCGACCTTCAGGCTGGGAGCTCAGAACCCCTCACCATTACTCCATGCTGCCCCATCAGGACACAAATATTTGTGTTAAAAAGTGAGTTAATAAAAAGGTTCTTGATTTAGAGGCCTCAAATAAGCATTTCTATTATGACATGACATAAGATGGAAAAAAAAGCTTACAACTTTACAACTAAAAAGAGTTTATTACAATTATGAAAACTAGTAAAATAATTAAGTGCATAGGTTCTACTTTTAGAGCTACAGTCACTACATTAAGCATAAATCACTGAACAAGTGCACTCTGGATCTTGCTCAGGAACAGATAATTCCATCTCTTTTTTTCTGACTTTAGCTCCAGTTCTGCTCATAACACATTTGTAATGCTTGATCTTCGGCCTTGGCTGTGTGACCTGTCCAGTCTGTATTGAAGCTCTCAGATAGGAGCTTTCTAACTTGACCAAGAGCAGGTTTCTCAAAGTACAGCCCTCCTAAGCCACTGTCTTGTAGAGTTTGGCTCCAACCAACTCTGCAGTTATTTAATTGATAATCAACAAGATCAATATAGCAAGGATGCTGGATGGAGCAAAAGTCTGCAAATAAACTATACTGGAAAAGCCACAGATTTAGTAACTGTTCCAGCTTTTGAAACACTTTTAGCTGGGGACTTTCGTCTCTCCTCCAGATGTTAGCTGGATTTATGGGTGGTATTGGATGCCAAACTGGGTCATGGATCCACTGCAAGTGGTAGCATCACATTATGATGGCAAACCTAAGGGCAAAGACTTAAGTCAAGCAACACTGTGGCCCATTCCTTTTTCAGAACTTTCCATACTCACTTAACACAACAAGAAAAGGAAACTGAGATATCTTTATCATTTTTGGTTCTATAATGTTCAGCAGTTACTTTCCCATAGTGACATGCTTTGGTTTATTTCCCTGTACTTTTACCACAATTTCACTGTACTTCACTACACAATACACCACAGAACACGTTACAGAACCATGCAAGAGTTCCAGACAGTGATGTTTTCTTTCAGAATATTCTCCTTTTTAGTGTACTTTGCACCCCTTTCCTACACTTCTCAAATTGTAAAATAGCATCTGAAGATGATGTATAATATAATACAATACAGTATAATAGTATTTGCTCACAACCCAAATCAATGTGACCTAATTAATCTACTTAATTATACTTTGAAATCCTCTGTTGCAGGCAGGTCTTTGAAGATTGTAATAGCAAAGGACTTGCCACTAGAGGTCCACTAAAAAGCCACTATTGTGATAATATTCGCTGGGTGTTTATTAGTTAATAATATAGTTTGTGAAGGGTTTAGAAGGCACATTCCCATGTGGGGTTAGGGTTATAATGATGATTAAAGAGGGGACCTCACGTCACTCTGTGGTGTGTAAGACCTGCAGAAACACATAAAGACTCCTGCAACTCAACATCATACTGTAGGTTTTCTATGTGCTCATATTCCTGGAGCCTGCCTTTCTAAAGCTGTAGTTTATCATCCAATTTGCTCTTTTTGTAAATGTAAAAATCATGTAAATGATCGTGGCTTAACTAAAGATACTCACCCTCTTCGAAATGCAGTCTTATCGGTAGTGAGTTAAGCCTCAAAAGTCAGAATTCATCAGAGGAAAGGTGGGAATTACTTCAAATGGCCAGTAGGTGATAGTACACGATCAGTATGTCGGGAAAGGTTTACTGAAAAGAAACTGAAACCAAAGTGTAAGTGTGAAAAGCAAAACAAAGTCTGCTGCAAAAGTGTTGTCTTATGTGAAAATAATGTGAACCTACAATTACAGCTGTAGCTGCTTAGGACTCCTAGACTCCTAGAACTCCTGAATCACATGAAGGCAAGTGAATTATTCAAATCTTGGTCATTCCATATAAAACAGTTCCGCACATCTAAGAGTCTGTGTTCTTTACAAAATAAGGTCTTTGCAAAAAAGAGTTTTTTCTATTTAAACCTAAATACCATTATTAGTCTAAAACATTTACTGGTAGCATATTCAATTCTGCAAAACAAAGGGATTTGTTGGAATAAAACAGACATAACCTCCAGCCTGTATGATGCAGTGCCACATGTTTGTATTGATAAGTAAAAACTAAATACAGTAAATGGCCCTCTAAGCTTCATTAATCAAACTTTATGCATCTGTCATTTTTGTGCCTGCTCACGAGGCTGGTGTAATGCTGTTACAAATTAAATTAAAATATGACTATAATACATTTTTGACAAATATTAAAAAACTATTACCCTAAAAAGGGAGAACATACTTATATGACATATTTGTCAGTGGGTGGGGATCAATTGGGATCTTTGTAAAGTGCTTTGGCATTTAATTAAAAAATACAACAAGTTTTTTTTATTATTTCTTAAGAAAAATAGGCTTATAGGAGATAGGCTCCCCAGTCGTTCACTCGTGAAAATGTGTTTCTTTCTCTATAGCTTAGACATTAGTACTTCATGCCTAGGTAAAGGGTCAGCACACAATGACTCCTTTGACTTGCTGGGCACCTACAGTAATGCCAGTGAGAGGTGTGCCACTCTTCCAATTGGCACCAAAACTCCCGTCAGGCAAGATGGAGTCTGCAGTATGTCAATAGAGAACTGGCACTTTGATTGGGCAATTAGGAGATGTAGACATGTCTCATACTCCACATGAGTTCCAGTCTAAAGACAACTGGAGTATCCGTATTTGGTGGGTATCTATTAATCCATACTGTTACTGTCAGTCCCAGATGAAAGTTTTAAACCAGTTCTTTTCTTCCTCTTCAACCAAGGATAAATGGTGATTAGCCAACAAAAACTGGCAAATTCAGTTCAGGCTTTATTATCCTTTGAGGGAAACTGGTTTTACAGTATAGTTCAACACAACAATATAAAAAAGACAAACATTAACAACAGAGAAGACAGTACAACAGTGTTACAGGGAATAAGAGTTATTTACATTGTTTGAGGGAGATATTGGAGCACGGATGAAAGATTTCCTCAGACTGTTACTTCATTGACAGTGACAGTGACAGTACCCTCCCTTTTCAAGGGCAGCTCCTGAGGCCCTAAACAAAAACAAAAAATCCAAGGGGGTTCAAAAACAAACCATAAACAGATGAAGTCCGGATTACCATCTGCGGGGTCTTTGTTGCGGCTCAGCTTTCTAACTCGAGAGACAAATCTGACTCCGACTCCCGTGGAGTGTGTTGTTAAAGACCCTGTGCGTGACAACTGGCTTCAGTCAAGTAGCGTATTCAGTTAAGTAATTTACTTCAAATAGCATGCAATGCCCTAATGTCTGTGGCTGCGGACATGCCAATGTACCACGTTTCTGAACTCTAATACATCATCAGCTGAAATGCAAGTCTTAAAACACGACAACTCTGTCTGTAATATCTTTGTAGCGAATGAGATAATAGGGATAGCACTGGCAGCTGTCAAAAATGACAAACATGGTTGGCTCGTCTTCGCTGTTTACACAGGAATCATACAGTTCACCACTGGAGATGGAGTTCTTAAGAGGCTGAGGCTGCGTAACGAAATTGTGGCCTTTCACCCACTGGCCAGCGAGAACTGTGGCGATGAGCATGTGTCGTTCTCCTGTCTCCAAGGTGGTGTATTTAGCAGCGAAGCTGGCATCGCGTGCAAAGTACGTTCCTTTGCCATAGATGTGGCCATTCCTGGTGCCCGCAAGGCTGGGGTCAAAGTTCAGCCTGCAGATAGCATCAACTGCTCTCTCTGTTGTGCCATGGAAGAGGTGCATCTCATTTACAAGAGTGCCACCACTGGCAGACCTCTGAGCCATGAAATCCCTCTTGCTGGAAATACAAGTGAATTATAATATCAGATGTTAGAAAGCACACAATAATGCTTCATAGCACATACAATAGCACAGGTTTAAACATATAGCACTAAATAATAGATAAATAAGAGACTTAAAAAGCAGTGGAGCACAAATGCAGGGCAAGCAGACAGATATTTTAAAAGGCTGAAGGGAAATAACTGTAACATATTTGTGTTACATTATGCCCATTGTACAGGACATTGCTGCACAAACAGGCCTCGGAGATCTGCTGCATTCTAATTCACTACCCCATCCTACTCCCTTTGTAAAAGTTTAAACGAGCAAGCAGAAAGGGCAACCGAGAATCCACACCATTACATATATGCAGCAAAAATAAACAGAACTTTAAGGGAATAGGAATTGCAGTGACGTTTTTTGGAGTTCTCAATCAAATTCGGTGATGCAAAAGATCATTACATGCTTACCTCTCAAACTTACTCCACAGCTGGGGGTTCTGTATCTGCTCAACAGCAACAATGAAGAATTGCGTTTCTGGCATAGTCCTGTGGAAGAGCTCATGAATGTGTTGGTATGACTCACTAGTTACTGGCACACGGATCCTGGCAAAAAACCCATCTTTAGGAAAGCCAGGAACCCATGTTGGGGGATAGCTGGTTAAGCCGGGTAAAAAAGGGTTCTGGGAAAATGCTCTGCTATCTGAATTACTCGGCAAAACACCATTCGCTTTCCTGGAAGAGAAACCAGAGTTAATGTACTACAGTATATTTTAAAGCAGTAATCATACAGACCAGTGACACCAAGGCTCTAGTGCACATGCTCCACTAACATACTGTATCTACCTATCAAGGGCTATGCTCTAAGATAGGCTTTCCATTGGCTAAGCATTTAAGTTCTTTACCATTTATTCAGTAGGGTATTTTAAGTGCTGGGTATGGTGTTTTCAGAAAGTCAGAAAAAGTGAAAGAATTGAATTTTGACTCCCAAAGGGATAAACAAGACGGAGAAACTCACTGCAAATTCTTCGAAAGACGCACATCGGAGAAGAAGCGTGGTCTTCGGCGAATGCTTCTAGTGAAGCCAGTTTTCACGTTGCGCTGAGTGAACTTCTTCAAGTCGACATTGTAGATCACGTCATTCAAAGAGAAGGCTTGGTTCCACATGCCCTTCTCAAATGCTGCTTCCAGCTGACTGGCAATTGGCTGGTTGAAACAGAAGAACACATTCATTAGCCTGCTGAAAATGACAACGCAAATATTTGTTAGACATGGTTACATCCATGCTTTAATTTGTAATAAATTAAATTTGTAATACCAGCTAGCTACTAGCTCCCATGACAATTAAACAACTGTAAATGAATGTGGTCCTAATTGAATATTTTGATCAAAGGAGGGTTTACCTTATCAGGGGATTTTCAAATCACTGTTACAGAGAGCTAAACAAATACAACAAATGAAACAGTGTTGTATTACAATACATTCGGACAATTGTGTATTATCACTGCCTCTTGAGATGACAGATTCTTTTACCTCCTCATACGTTTTCCAGCTTGTGCCCTCCTGCCAGTAGATTACCCAATCGGTATGGAAAAGGGGGCTGGTCTCTGGGTCTGCTGTGGTGGTGAGTCTTCGTGCTTGGTCAAATGGTGCACTGCTCCTCACGGTGAGGGTCTGCAAATTTATTTGGAAACTTCCAGCTGCTTTAGCTCTACACAGCAAAAGAGGAAAACAGAACCTCATTAGAAATGGTTGCATCACTCTTCCATTGGCTTCTCTAAATTGAATTCCTGTCCAACACTGATGTTTTGCTCCTCATATATAAAGCCTTTGATTTCATGAATGAATAGAACTTATGAATAAGCTTACAAGACACCAAAAAGAATCTCTGCACTAAGGTTTTGCCTATTACAGTAATATTCATGATTAATAAAGGTGATGTTAGAGGACAATTAATGTGTCCAATTCGTTACTTTGTACAGTTCAAGCTTCAATGGGAATTATACTTGTCTTGCATGTGTAGGTTAGGATAACATGCAAATACAAGGATAACCTTTGACTATAAGGATACGATTTCAAAATTCTTGCTTTGCTGCTACTAATAAAAGACAGCTTGAAAAGAGCAAGATAGTTTCAATGCAATATATCAAAGACTGGCTCAGAAATTATGACATGATTGCATGCTTTTGTATAGTACACCAGAAACAATCTTGTATCAAAAGAGGAATTTCGGCAATAAAAAGAAAAGACAAGAAAAGAACAGGTGGCTTCTTACAGCTGGATTAATTAGCTCCCAACTGCCACTCAGAAAAACCTTATTTGAAACCTCCGCAACTCAGCGCACCTACCCCTTCTGGAAGGTGGCTGTGTTGACGGTGTGGTTGCAGTACAAGGCTTCCAGGTGTTGCTGGGCAGAGTCTGAGATGCTGACCCACTGCTTAGACTGGGATTCCCTGAGCTGCCAGTGGTAGGGACGGGGAGTGTGGTGTCGGGGGCACATGGCTCCAAAGCTGCAGCATCCAGAGAACAAATCTGGGCAGACGAGAACGCCATTCTTTTCATGGATATGGCACTGCACCACTCCCTGCCCTAAAGCATCCTGTTCCAACACACAGGTCACAAATCAGGAAACACTCACGCAGAGAACAGTAATCCACAGAGGTTGAATAGTAATAGTCTCTCTGCAAGTATGCTGTACAGTGGTAGTGGAGGCATGGTTAGGGCTCTGAGTGTATAACTACAGTTGTACCCTTGAGAAAGGTACTTCACTCAGATTGCTTCTGTTTAATGCACTATTGTATAAATGAGTACAAATGGATAAAAGCAGTCAGAAAAAATATCACAGGATACCAAGCAAAAGATGTATCCTTTCTTTTTACTTAGCAGACTCAAACTTTACAACAGGGGTTGGCAGCTTATACATTATAAGCACGATTCATTCTACATATAATGCTTATGTACGGTAAACAGTGACGATAACTTCTTGAATCTCGGATAAGTTAACAATGCAGTCCACTGATTACTGATTGCTCCAAAGTAAAAGTTATAAAGTTTGCTTGTTCCCTGGAGAGATGAAAACAGATTTGTTCGACGTAAAAATCCTGCTGTTTGTTCCGTATTTTGTGAGAGCGCTGTTCGGTGCACATCAAACGTCCAAATGAGATTTTCAGACTAAGCACAAGAAACACTTCAAGGATCAATTAATTAATTAATTAATTGTATATGCTATTTTATTTTAATATTATGTAGTTTAAACTAACTAAAATGTTACTATGACTATGACTGATGTTAAAAATGTATCAGTGGCCGACACACCTGTATATAGCAGTGTATGTGTTCCTTGCCCCTTCTGAAAGGCTGCCCAACCCTGGTCTAGTCTTTCTAACTTCATTATCGAAAAACATGACATGATCAAAATTGTTATGCCACCTAAAACGTTAGATTTCTTATCTTTAGTCGCAAAATTCATGTTAAAAATGACAAGTTAACTCTTCTTCGTAAGTAATCGTAAGGAGGAAAGTTTGGACACTAGCTTACAGCAAAGTACTGGAAACTTGTCAAGTTGTATTTGGCTGATAAGTGCTAAAAGATAATACTGTGTAACAAAGGCTAAGCTTGGGTGCTGAGCCCTACATGCTGCCCTTCCTACCTGGTAAGTGTCCACTACTTCCAGGAAAGCCTTACAGCCGGGTGTGGCCTTGAAGCAATCTGTGTTCTTGTTAACATGACAGTCAGTGGACAGATTGGACTCCAGCAGCCGGTTGCTCTGTGGTGACGAGGCCCTTACTGGAGCCTGCAGCTGGACAGGACTGATGCACTGAAAGCTGCAGGTGGGGTTGGGTGGATTGCACTGACCCTTCAGAGACGGAGGTGAAGACTGCAGAGGCCGGAAAAACAGTAAAACCAAAATTAGCTCTATGCTAATCTCCCACTTTCCATCCATCCATTTATTTTCAATAACTGCTTAATTCAGAATAGGGTTGGGCCTGCCACTGCACTGAAAATACACTGACCAAAATGATAACTATTACAGTACAACAGAGTTTGGACACAAAGATTAGATTGTCTCTTAACCTTAAGAAATAAATTCCCTGTTTTAAACACCCTAGCATACTATGCAAGTACCTCTGTTTTTTTCACAACTTCCTGCTTAGACAGCAGAGTTAATTAGCCATTTTAATGAATGTGTCGTCATAAAGCAATGAAAGTCATTACCTACATTAGTGAGGTACAGTGCTTTTTTAAAATGTTTCTACCTCGAAGGTTTCAAGTCAGAAAAGGATGTAGTGCTGACCCTGCTGATCTTGGCTGGTGGAGGCTGGCAGGTCAGAGGGGCAGCAGCAGGTGTTGAGGGCACAGCAGACTGATAAGGAGGTGCCTGGGTTGAAGGGTGAAGCTGGATGCCATGGGGTTGGACCTGGTGACCCGGCAGGGTGATGCTTACAAGATTATTGATCTGGACATCAATCTTGTACCCGGGGGGCAGGAAGGTATTAAAGCCCATTATTAGATCAGGATGACCATTGAAGAGCTGACAGACCCTGTTGATCACCCCAGGGGTGTCAATGCTGGAAGACAAAACAGTCCTTAGTGCTTGGTCTGCATCACTCAGCACGGCAACACTGTGCACAGCCATGAATAGAAGAGATTGCTCATTACTAAACTGGACATCAGTCTATGTTCAGAAATGTCTTTCAGACCATGAAAACAAATAATTTTACTTAGTTTAATGAATAGAAAGTGAATCACCATTGTGATTTAAACTCCTTCATGATGTCCAGGAATTCACTGTACATTTGGGGCTGACTCCCAAACTGTAGTTTCACCTGGTCCAGGTAGGACAGAGCATCTTCCACCTGTAAGAATAATTACAGGCATGACACATTCCACTCATGCCTAGTCAAGGCCTTCTGAAGACACATTTCAAACTGCTTCATACAAACGTGAAGGTTCGGTAGGTTGGGATTGTCAGAAAGGAATTATGTTTTTTTTTTAAATGATTGCAACCATTTCCAATAAAATCTTTAAACTTGCTTGTCGCTGCTTCCATTTCTCTGTTAAAAACACTAAAACAGCTGATTACAAATCACAGCCTGAGTTCCTTGAGGTTATGCATCATAGCTGAAGACTGTTTCATCTCATTGATCTCTCAAGCACAATTAACAGGACATGCTGATCGTTAATCCCAGATCCTTTTGAACTCACATTTCCATCCTATATTTCACTAACTGAAGATGAACATGACATTAGAATGATACTGTGGAAAAGATCATGGATTGAGCCAACAGTATAATGATAGCATTTTCTATAGACAGTATCTTGCAAAAGTAGACTTTGATTGAGTTAACTATGCTCATAAGTATATTCCCAGACTTTGATATTTGCTATACCTTTCTCTTGATTTGTGTTTTTCAATAACTTTATCTCTGACTTGCACTGAAAAAACGTATTTATGTTTAAGTCTTTGCTTGTATCCCAATACAAGACCAATGAACCTCACAGAGACAGTTGTTTTATTCTGAAATTATGAGAGCCACTATTATTGCACACAGACAGAAGCTACTCAACGAATTGTGTATCTTGTTAATGTGATTTTCTGCATCTAATTAGTTTAATTTTATCACAGGAAAGGGCTTGAATAATTATGAATGTTTACTTTATTATTATCTATTAACTTTTTGTTTGTTTTTTGACGGTGTGGAGTAGGTCTGCAACAATTATTAAATTTATTCATTGCCACTTCAAAGTGTCATGAATGCAAGCTTTAAAATAGTGTAGTGGACAGTAATCAAAACTGTGATATTTTTAAACCGTCATGGTTAATACTGCAATAAACATCCTATGCTTTGCAAAATTGTTATAAATCTGAACAAATCCCATTCATCAGCTTTAAAAAAAATTCTCCAACAGAGGAGCTCAGCATGAAGAAATCCATGTGCATTTAATTTCTCACCGTGAACTCGTTACGTCCCAGCCTCGCAGGAATCGCTGCTCCACACATTCCTGCGTGGGCTCAATTAATAATCTAATCATCCAGGCCCTCTCCTGCGGTTTACGAATACCTACCGAGCCCTTCTGTCCTCGTTCAGTAATGGGTTTTCTCTCCCCGTCAGAGCTCTTTCATTATCCGTTGTGTCTCCTGGCTATCGACTCTGTTTGTTCCGACCTTGCCTTCTGCTTACAGTCTTGTGGATGTCTCGGTATGAATGAACCCTGTTAGTCTCAGTCTACGCCCTCGGAACCTCCGCTGTGTTCGGATCACCCTTTCGAACCTCGACCTGGACCTCTCCTACCACCCTCTAGCTCTGCTCAGAGGAATTGCTGTATGGGTCCAACACCACCTCCCAGACGACCGTAACAGAACTTGCTCTGCAGCTGACCCTGTGCAGGGGCACTGCTCTGCCTGCTGAGGACTGTGGCTGTGAACCCCACTGGGGGCTGCAGCTACAGCTGGGTTCTGCACCACGAAGGCAAAAAGATCTCTTAAGATTTCGACTGTGGCGGTGACAGATATTGCCAATGACTTTTCCTTTGACATCCTGTTTTTTTTTAATGATTTCTCCTGAAGTGCATAGTGTAAAAAAAAATCAAATTTCTGGCGGTAATGATTGTGCAGGAGAATTTTAATCAACAAACCTTCAAAGGGCGCTTCATTGTGAACTCATACTCGGCAGCGGGTGTCTCAAAACCTGGGGAACACATTGCGGTTAGTAACTACTCCACATACTCCTACCAAACCATCATTATTGAATAGATATATAAATCTTTCTAATGAAGTCCTATCCGTTTTAATATATTGTAACGCTTACGGCCGACAGGCACTGTGTAAGAGCCGGCGTACCAGAGCAGGTGATGTCACCGCCCTTCCCTGTGATAGCAGGACTACAGTTACTGGGCGGTGGGGGGGCGACCTAATGCGGCAAGGGCGCCTGCCTGAGCCCCCGTTGCGTTACAATATCTTGGTTGATGCCCAATGTCTTGCGAAGTTGTAACTGTAATTTTGTCTCGTCATTTTTTTCGTTTTGTGAAACGATATGTCACATATTGAGCCAGACCCTAATTGTAATTTTGGTTATCCTTGCTTCCTCAGTTTAAATATTATTAGGCTTGCAAAAGCTATGAGTGATTCACAACATCCGATTCAGTATTACTTTCCCATGTACAGAATCCCTCCCTGGTCAGACGAAAACTGGCAATGACAGACGGGAAGCTGACATGAGAATATCTTTGTAGTTGTTAACATTGTGCTGCTATCCCCGGTCTATCTCACCGGCTAACAGCTCTCCTGCACCAGTTGTGAATGAGCCTCCTGAATGTGGCTCTACACAAACCGAGGCGCCCTCTTTCTGCTGCTGTACACAGGCAGCTCATTTGAAGCTCAAGGAGTTTCTCTTTCATAGCATATAAAGTAAAGCACATGAGCATGAAGACTACTTTCACAATCGGTGAGCACGTTTAGTCAATCCCAGCGAACGCTTTTAAAACAACACAACTTGTGGAAAAACTCGTTGTCGTAAATGGGCATAAACGCGTCTTATCACATTAAAAGATTATGCAAAGCCTACGGTTTTAATCATACGGTAAAATCGGAAACGACACATTTCAAAACAATCTCAACAGTCGACATACAGTAGTATAAAGGCTGGGAATGAACCTATACTGCACACGTATACCCGTTGCTAACTTGACTTTCAGTTTCGAATTCTAAAGATAATGCATAATTTACTTTTATAAAACAAAAAAGCGTACGATTCTAAATATTATCAAATATTTTTTGTAACAATCTAAATAGCCTTCTACTGTAAACAGATATTTCGCGTCTTGGTATAGTATAAATCGCTGTTTCAGTTCCTTTCAATATAACACTTTGCTCAAAAGCAATATGAAAGCCTAACACACTATTAATACTTGACAGTGTATTTTAGATACCTAAAATATATATAAAAGATATATTTATCTTTACTATTAAAACTGCTCCCTGGTGCAGAGCAATAGAGATAAATGTTTTTGAAAAACGGTACGTAATAAAACGCTATCCTCGGCTTTGTCTATTATTTGCCTGTGCAATTCATTATTTGTAAAAAGCGAACGGACGTTCATGTTAAAGTCAAAAGAAACTACAGTATATCGTATACTGAGAGAATCTACACGGTTAGGTCTTACCAGAATTGAAGTGCAATACGATATATTCGTGACAGGGAGTCCAGTGTGGAACAAATAGAAACCGAAACTTTTATCCCATTTCATTTTTGGTTTCTAAATAGGCGTAATGAAATAATTCAAAATTAGATACTTGTGAGTGTGTACTAATATGTGTGTGTGATTGGAGAATAATAAGATAAGAGATAAGATCACTTTATTAGCCACATACAATTTCTTTCATTAGGAATTCGTCTTTTCGCATACTATAGCTTGCTCTCCATGAGACCCAGACGGGGAGAGAAGTTTGGGGTCAGCCATTGTACAGCCTGGAGCAGTTGGGGTTAAGGGCCTTGCTCAGGGGCCCAACGGAGTAGGATTCCTCTGCTGGCTACCTTCCAGCCCCAGGCGCAGATCCTTAGCCACAGAGCCACTGCTTCGTCCCATGTTTCCCTTGTGTTCTGGGGTCTGTATACAATTGTCTTCGTCTCCTTCAGCATCATTGTTATTGTAAACAACACAGACCCCAGTGAAGTTGTAGAGATCAACAAGGCGCTATGTCGGAAACGAAAGCAGCACAAATGCAGCGCTAACGAATGAGGGTGTTTCATCGTGTGTGCTGTTTTGGGGAGGCAACTTCACGGAGATGAGATAAACGTCAACATCAGAATTTGTTTTAACCGCAGTAAAGGTAGCCCCCGAGTTTGACATTCTCACGATTTCAATATTTTTTGTAAATTCAATGGCGTGTTAGCGAAACCTGATATGTCTAAATCGTTTCGTGATGACGCTATATACATTCCAAAAAACAAATACGAGCCGAACTTCTAACTTGATCGCGATGTTTTTTTTGTCTCTACTACATATGTTTTGTAAATCGAAGTTTCAAAAGACGGTTATCCTGTCTACAATTAGGTTTATCCTTGCTTTCTTAGACTAAGTATTAATATAATGTTTGACTTTTACTAAGCCTGTTCTATATTACAAAATAATATTTACTATTCGTTCTATTCAGTCTCAATGATTCATTTTCATTGCGGTAGTGTTACCTCTCACTTGTGCTTTTAAATCCTTTTGTACAGTATGAATAAGTACTGCAGAAGTAGCATAGTTCTAAACCAATAAGGAATGGTTCTGTTAAGAGACGTTCATGTCAAAAAAAGTTTGTTAGTGTTACCTTAGATAATATCGAAGACCTGAAGAATAATTTCAAAAACATTAAGTACTTGTGGGCAACATGGAACTTTATACTGTATATTGAGCTGTAACTAGTATAAATCAGAGGCTTTTCTGTACAAAACCTTTATTTTAGGAAAAATGTAACAAAGAAATTCTTCATTTTGGTTCAACAAATGCAGACATTACATTTTAACTTCCACTGACAGAAGTCCTTCTTCCTTTTGCTAATGTAAAAATATAAGCAAAGAAGAAACACTGATATACTTTTCAACTCTAAATATTTTAAGACAAACTATTTCTTAGGAGTATTAAAAGCCAACAGTGTGCAAAATGTGCCAAAACAAATATCAAATACTATTCCCCGAACTATTCTACATTCAGGTTTGCCCATCTCAAGGAGCACAATGTCATTCACAGGATGCTTTGTGCAGTATTGCAAGGCACCAACACACCCCAGAAACAAGCCTCTCTCTTCATTGAGCACAGGCTTTTCTGTAGGTGTGGCACTGGTGGTTAAATGATGTGTGAAGCATCTGGACAGTGACATCTGGATTAGTGGATTCGTGTCGATACTTGAAGTTTTTAATAAAGTATTCAGTACAATTTTTAATTGGCTTTGCTGCATTTTAACATACGAAGTGCTGTTTTAAGATTACCAGCAACAGATTTCAGGATACCTCGATCACTTTGAAAGATGTCATTGTCATTTGTTGTTTGAAATGAGTTCAGCATCTTAGTTTTAAACTCTTCTACAAGCAGTGTTTCCCATTCATGTCATGGTAACCCACAATCCTGTTAGTTTTTGTTATAACCAAGCCCCCTGTTACATAAGACCCTTCACTGTCTGAATAAAAACATGAATTTCAATGTTAAAGACCTGGTTTCTTCCCAGTTGCTGTAGCTGTTGTAACTTTGTAAGTGGAATAAAGTGCCCACATTTGTACAACAAACAAAATGCAAATATTCAATTAAAGCAACTTCTTAAATGAAGTAATAATAATGATAATAATAATAATTATAATAATTGCTTACACTTATATAGCGCTTTTCTAAGTACTCCACTCAAAGCGCTTTACAGGTAATGGGGACTCCCCTCCACCACCACCAATGTGCAGCCCCACCTGGATGATGCGACGGCAGCCATAGTGCGCCAGAACGCTCCCCACACATCAGCTATCAGTGGGGAGGAGAGCAGAGTAATGAAGCCAATTCATAGAGGGGGATTATTAGGAGGCCATGATTGGTAAGGGCCAATGGGACATTTGGCCAGGACGCCAGGGTTACACCCCTACTCTTTTTGAGAAACGCCCTGGGATTTTTAATGACCACAGAGAGTCAGGACCTCGGTTTTCCGTCTCATCCGAAGGACGGCGCCTGTTTACAGTATAGTGTCCCCGTCACTATACTGGAGCAGTAGGACCCACATGGACCGCAGGGTGAGCGCCCCCTGCTGGGCCCACTAACACCTCTTCCAGCAGCAACCTTAAGGATTAGTGGATAGTATGCAAAGCAGCAGGTGTTTGGTTCCCAATCTGGATCCTGGTGATCCACTGTTCTACAGCATCAGCTAGTTTGCAACGGTTAACTCACTATAATACTGTCTGTATAGTTTCTGTATTGAATCAAGAAATAAGGGTAGCACTGGCAGCTGTCAAAAATGACAAACATTGTAGGCTCTGTATTATGGTTAACACAGGAGTCATAGAGATCCCCACTGGGATCAGAGTCTTTGATAGGTGGGGGCCGGCGAAACGAAGCCTCCCCTACCACCCACTTGCCAACAAGGACCTTGGCGAGGAACATGTAGCGTTCCGTGGTCTCCTCAGGGTTGTATCTGGCGGAGCTTCTGGCCTCGCTTGCGAAGTACGTACCCTGGCCATAGACATGGCCGTTCTTGCTGCCTGAGAGACGGGGGTCAAAGTTCATCCTGCAAATGGCCTCCACCGCGCTCTGTGTCGTGCCGTGGAAGAGATGCATCTCATTGATGAGGCTGCCCTCCCCAGCAGACCGCTGAGCCATGAAATCCCTCTGGCTGTGAACGAATAAATTGACGTTACAGCCAACCTCACAAGTTAGCATCAACTGCAAAATGAAATAAATGTAACACAAATTGTTAAACATCCCTCAAGACTGGTCGACTGGCAGTCTTGGTCCTGGAGGACCACCATGTTTGCAGGTGTTCTAGGCCTCCTCAAAGCACCAGCATCTGAAGAGCTGGGAGAAGCAGTTGAATTGGTCCAATGAAGGCAACAATTAAGTCATTCACCTTGTTAAATGTTAAATTGGTGTCACGATCATCATCCCTCCTCTAGAGGGAGTTCCGACCCTTTTTGTGTTTTGTTTCATTATCATGTACACCTGTCTCTGGATTCACCGTATTATTTATATCAGGTGCTCCAGAAGCTCGGCGCTCTGCATTGGAAGACGGACGCCCAGAGGCCCGCCTAGCTTCAAGTCGCCCCTGTGGTCTAAGGGCATAGGCCTCCTATCGGTGTCCTGACCAGCTGAGTCTGGGGCTCGGAACACCTGGCCTCGTCACTCACCCTTGACTTAAAGACATAGAGCTATGACTAGCATTTTTAACCATTTTATATTTTATATTTTATATTTATACTTGAATCACTGTGCTACAGCCTTGCAGTCTGTTGCAATCAGACTGATTCACAGGTCTAATAGATCAAATTGTACTTACTTCTCATATTTACCCCATAGCCAGGGGTTCTGGATCTGGTGAATGGCAGTGATACAGGCTGAAGTTTCTGGGACAGTTTTATGAAAAAGTTTATAAATGTGCCTATATGTTATGCTAGATACTGGCACAGGGATCTTTGCAAATATCCCCTCTTCAGGAAGGCCTGGAACCCAGGTGGGAGGGTAGTTTCTAAAGGCAGGCAAAAAAGGGTTTCTTGAAAAGGTTGGGTGACTGTCAAAAGAAATTCCCGGGATGGAATTGTTCACTCTCCTGAAAAAAAAAAATGATCATAAAAGTTAATAAGGTACATAAGGAGCTGCAGATTTCCCAGACCTTTACACATGGGGACAACTGTAATTCTTGCACAACTGTTCAGGAGACAAGTAATGTCTCTGTGTCCTGCATTTGACTTTGATGTATTTTGTCCTATCAACCCCAGCACACAAACTACCCTAAAACTAGACCAAATGTTTTCCCAGGAGCAGAAATTTACTATTACATACTGGAGAGATAAAACAGAACTACCTCTGATCCCTTGTTAACTCCATTCAAGACACAAGACCAGTGAGACATGAGAACAAACATGTCAGTAGTGGCCTCCTCTATAGCTAAAAATGTTGCTCACTAATTTTCAGTGTAATAAATTCTCCAGTCCTCTAATTATTTCATATCTGTTTATTGAATACTTATTTTTGTAGCTAGTGTTGGCTAAGGTTGTCAGCTTTTACTCATCTGCTGCTGAAGATGGGCAAAAACAGATGTCCTAAAAATTTGCAGCTGTAAAATTGCTTAAGGACACCTGCATTTTCTTTATTATTCCCACCCCCATTCCCCGAAGGGAAAACTGTGTAAACAGAAAGCTGAAATACTATTTTAAGCCAGAGTGGTCCAGATTTGGTTCTGAAGGTTCGGTGTCTATGTTGGATGTTACGAAACTTGGGTAACATGGGTCAAACAAGCCAATAAGCTGATTAAGCTCATCAAATGCAAAATGTGGGAACTAAACTTGCAGACTTGTCGGCTGCCCAGGGCTGGAGCACTCTGTTTAACTGAAATAAAATGCATCAAGTAAGACTGGATCTTGCACAGAGATACACAAGATAGGGGAACTCACTGCAAATTCCTTGAAAGACGCACATCGGAGAAGAAGCGTGGTCTTCGGCGAATGCTTCTAGTGAAGCCAGTTTTCACGTTGCGCTGAGTGAACTTCTTCAAGTCCACATTGTAGATCACGTCTTTCAAAGAGAAGGCTTGGTTCCACATGCCCTTCTCAAATGCCGCGTTCAAGTAAGTGGCAATTGGCTGTTTAAAACAGAAAGCCACAGATTAGCCTGCTTAAAATGACAATGGAAATGTTAAACAAACCCAGAGGAAAAACAATTAGAACTACTGCAGTTGAAAGTTAGTAATTCATTTTATTACCTGCATGCACTTTTAAAATAAGAAATAAATCCCGACTACACAATGCATGGAAGTTCTAACTTTTCTGAAGCAGCAAGAGGATTGTATGTAAACTTAGTGACGGTGCTTAATGGCATCAATTTAAATTCTTAATCCATGGAAGTTTACAAAAGGGTACGTCTGCATACTTATAGTTCTGAAAAAACTGAGATTGAATTTATAATAATAATAATAACTTCTTACACTTATATAGCATTTTTCTGGACACTCCACTGAAAGTGCTTTACAGGTAATGGGGACTCCCCTCCACCACCACCAATGTGCAGCATCCACCTGGATTATGCAACGGCAGCCATAGTGCCATAGTGTGCCAGTACACTCCCCACACACCAGCTATCAGTTTAGAGGAGAACAGAGTAATGAAGCCAATTCATAGATGGAGATTATTAGGAGGCCATGATCTGTTAGGGTCAGAATGCCAGGGTTACACACCCCTACTCTTTTTGAGAAATGACCACAGAGAGTCAGGACCTCTGACTTAGCTTCAGGACCTGCTTAGCTTCAGTAGGCTGCCAGTTGTGAGTTGCAGGGTGATATGGCTGCTGGCTGCAGGGTGATTATGGAGCATTTTAAACTTAGAAAATTGTAACAGGGCTGCTTTCTTCCAATTACTGTCTCCTTTACCTCCTGGTAGGTATTCCAGCTTTCCTCCTCCTGCCAGTATATGACCCAGTCCACGTGGAAGGAGTAACTGGTGACTGGATCTGAGGTGGTGGCCAGTCTTCGTGCTTTGTTGTATATCAAGCTGTTTTTAATTAAGAGGGTCTGCAAGTCCAACTCCCAGCTCGCTGAAGCTTCTGGGCTGTTCAGTAAAGAAGGAATTACTTTTGTAAAGATAAATAATAAATAAAAAAATAATCCTTACACTTATATAGTGTTTTTCTCGACACTCCACTCAAAGCTTGTCACTCAACTTTACAGGTAATGGGGACTCCCCTCCACCATCACTGATGTGTAGCCCCCACCTAGATGATGTGATGGCAGGTTGCTACGAAGATAAGTCATAGGGGTGCAAAGATGCATTTGAGACAATTGAAAAACAATGTATGAAGTAAGGTTTTGCATTTACTTCAGACAGGACACAAAAAAATACAAGCAATGTGTAAATATCCAATGCTAGTACATATGAAGTAAAGAATGAGAATATTAATATTTTTATAAAGCTGTAAAACAGAACCATCCTGGCATACTAGTTTCTAGTGCTGTGCTCACATTATGAAAGTGAAGCATCTCAAGCCTTAATAATGATCTCCTCCTAAATCTTTCTCTGTTTTAAAACCAGGACTGTTTGCCACAAATCCCTTCAGGTTGTAGAATAACAATAAGAATAACATCTGAATGGTGACAGGTTGCTATGCAGGGTAGTGCACCCTGGGTTTAATTCGGGACCAGAGGTGCTGTCTGCGTGAAGTCTCTACGTTCTCCCCATGTTCGTGCGGGTTTCCTCCAGGTGCTCTGGTTTCCTCACACAGTCCAAAAACATACTGGAAGGTTAATTGGCTTCCTGGAAAATTGGCCTGGGTGTAAGTGTGTGAGTGTTTGTGTGTGCCCTACGATGGGTTTGGCCAGGTTAGGCTCCACCTCCCTCCTGATCCTGTACTGGAGGAAGCTAGATAACAGATGGACAGGTTGCTGCCATTCTGCCTTAGACAAACTCCAAACAGAAAGCCGACAGACTGGCAAATCAAATCAGCCTACTAATTAGCATACCGTTTTTTTTCCCAACAAGTCTATACAGCACTACGTACCCCCCCGTTATCATTAACATGGTGCTTATCCTGCTGACATCTGTGGCAAGCAGCAGCCTCTCCTACAAGCAAGAGGGGCAAGGTGAGGAATGAACACACACAGCTGCTCTCACCCCGGACGAGATGCCAGTCCATTGCAGGGACAGAGAAAGCAACACGTTTAGAACAGCCTCTCAAACCTGTATTTCGGAGGTTGAGGAAACCTGACCACATGAAGAACACCCGTATGAAGACAAGGAGAGCACGCAAACTAGAGCACATGATATGATACTGGAAAAATGGATATGGACACCATAAGCAGAAAAGAAGACGACACTTTCCCCTTCCTGTCCCCCAAACCAGCGGTCGTACCTTTCCTTCAAGGTGGCTGTGTCGACGGTGTGGTTGCAGTACAAGGCTTCCAGGTGTTGCTGGGCAGAGTGTGAGATGCTGACCCACTGCTTAGACTGGGATTCCCTGAGCTGCCAGTGGTAGGGACGGGGCGTGTGGTGTCGGGGGCACATGGCTCCTAAGAAGCAGCTCCCATAGAAGAATTCTGTGCACACGAGAATGCCATCCTTCTGATGGACATGAAATTGCACCACTCCTTGCCGAAAAACTTCCTGTCCCAATAAAAGTGACATAAATTGACATTATAAAGGTACAAAGGCACCAAAATGGCAAACATCCTGAATGAGAATATTTAATATGATTAACTGAATAGTAAAAGGACAATACGTACCATTACATATGGACTTCGTACACAATTCTATTTAAAAACACAAGATTGTTTCTGGCCACCAGCAACTGAACCAGAGCTCAATTTGTGCAGGATATATTGCCAGATATTTGATTGCAGAATAAGTACATCATCAAAGATAACATTTCTAGTTTCTGTCCTGAGATTTCTTATATTAAACATTATGATATGACGCATGATGTATTAAGGTGGCACAGTGCTTGTTATTGCTGCCTCACAGTGTTGGGGCCCTGTGTTCAATTCTGGGAGCTTGGCTGCTGTCTGTTTGAAGATCGTATATTCTCCCTGTATTCATGTGGGTTTTCTCTGGGTGCTCCACTTTCCTCCCTCAATCCAAAGACATACTGGTAGATTGATTGGCTTCTGGGAAAACTGGCTCTGGTGAGAGTGTCTGTGTTTGTGCTTGTGTGTGTGCTGGCGACCTGTCCAGGGCCTTCCACCCATTGCTTCCCAGCGAAGCTGAACTGGATAAAGAGGCTAGAAAATGAATGGATTGACTGTATTTGCATGAGCACTACAGCAGTTTTTGGGAGTCCAGCTTTAGAGCAAGACTGAGGTGTGTTAATCAGGTAGTACTTGTTATATCTTGCCAGCAGCCATATCACTCTGCAACTCACAACTGGCAACCCACTGAAGCTAAGCAGGTGTGAGCCTGGTCAGTACCTGGATGGGAGACCTTCTGGAAACAACTAAGGTTGCTGCTGGAAGAGTTGTTAGTGGGGCCAGCAGGGAGCACACAGCCTGAGGTCCATGTGGGTCCTAATGCCCCAGTATAGTGATGGGGACACTATACTGTAAACAGACGCCGTCCTTCGGATGAGACGTAAAACTGAGGTCCTGGCTCTCTGTGATCATTAAAAATTCCAGGGCGTTTCTCGAAAAGAGTAGGGGTGTAACCCCGGTGTCCTGGCCAAATTTCCCATTGGCCCTTACCCTTACTAATAATCCCCATCTATGAATTGGCTTCATTACTCTCCTCTCCACTGATAGCTGATGTGTGGTGAGCATTCTGGCGCACTATAGCTGCCATCTCATCATCCAGGTAGGGCTGCACATTGGTGGTGGTGGAGGGGAGTCCCCATTACCTGTAAAGCGCTATATAGGTCTAAGGAATTATTATTATTATATGCTACAAGAAACACAGATGAAGAGGCATTATCCAAATCTGGAGAGAAAGGTTGGCCCTTAGCCACTATGGCAGAAGTAGTTTGGTGAGTTTGATGTGGAAAAATATGGTCTTACTCTGCCTGACTTCTTCAGGACTTTGAAGGCCTCAACGAGCCTGGCAGTATGATTGCACTCACCTGCTTTGCAGGAGTCGTCAGTTTTGGGGCTACTGAAACAGGCTGCTCTCGGGTGCATGGTGAAAGCAAGCATACTCCCTGCCTGAGGCTTTTTGCTCTCTTACGTTGAACCCGTGGCACTCGGTGAGTTTTCATGTCACCACCACAAGGACACCATCTGTGCAGGAACTTCCCCAAGAAGGAAAGACCTGTGAAAGAACAAAAAAATGTTTGACTGAAACACTCTTTGTCCACAATGTTAGAATCCACAATGCTCTTTGTCTGCCAGACTCCACATGAAGATAAGATTTCCAGATTGAGTCCCTGGCTAGATTGAGTCCCAGAAACACAATTTCAGTGAAATCCCCGATAATGAAGGTTAAGTAAAATGTAATGTTTGATGTTCCGAAACAGTACAATGACTACCTGTCAAACCAAAGCAAGATTCTGTACTTATAGCAAAACCAGCAGTCAGCTACACTTGAGTAAGAATTCCAACGACTCATGTGTATAGACTTAACAAAGAGCCAGCTATTCTGCTGTTTAAATGCTGATGGAGAAGTAAAAGTCGGCCCTTTTAGCTATAAATAAATATAAATAGTGTTTGTATTAGCTGTTGTCTCCTATTGATAATATAACATTTCAAGAATTCTGGGCATTCTTTAATAAAGCTTAAGGTAAAAAAAGGTGAAAAAGAACATGCCCCTAATCTGATACCTGAAAAACCCACCTTTACTTTTCTCAAAGATGAAACAATCCTTATATAACAAAAATGCATTTCAATGTGTTAAAATACAAAGAGATTAAGTGTTCTCAACTGGCTGATTTGTTTTTTGTTGTGACAATAAATAATGGGGAAAAAATGAAAATAATGCTGAATTGCCACTTTGAGCATTATGTACATAGTCCAAACCATGGGTTTCTGCTTTAATGGGAATCATTATAGTAGCATCCCACCCTTGGACAAACCAAATGTTCAATGCATGACTTTAGCTGTTAGTTTTTGTACATACTGTACATGAAATAAAACTTTTTAATAGTATTGCATCATATTTTAAGGGAATTATACACCCACAAGCTTTCGAACTGTGGATCCTTTAACAATAGCTACAAGTTTGCTTAACAACACTAGTTCACACTAACGTGGGATAGCGATGTTTAAATCCTGCCTTCAGAAGTCGATGGTGACGCCAACATTTATATACTGAGAAATGCTTCAAATGATAAGCAAAGAACAAGATAGCAGAAATTATATTTTGGCTAGGCAGCCAGGTTGTAACTTTCAACATAGTCAAGATAAATCGTCAAAACGACGAGTACAGACGCAGACGGAGGACTTCCCCAACTACCCAGAGCTTGCAAAATAAGTTTCACTTTCTAGTTCTTCGCTGTTTCGTTAGATGCACAATTAATTCTCTAAAAACTGCAGTGCCACGGAATACAAAATACTGTACGTTAGCAAACCTGTTATTTTCCTGGTCTTGTAGGTTTCCCAAAAAAGAGACTGGACTGGTTCAGTCACATTTCAGTCAAAATTGTTTTTTTTTAAATGTTTTTTAACCCTCCCGAAAGCAGACTATGTTTTTGCATTTATCTACTGTATACCTATTAGACAAATCTATCTTTGATATACAAGTTCGACATTGATGTTCTGTAAATTTGTGGAATACGGTGCTACAGTAGTATTTAAAATGAATTTCCGTGAACGGGCTAATAAAGTAAGCGTTTCAAACTCAAATTTCTACTAATGAAGCAAATATTGAAACAAAAAAAAAACCCGCACTATTCGGGCAGAAAATCCTCTTAATGGTAACATAATAATCCAAACTACCTTCGTCGTCAAAGGCGGAGATGAGACTTACCTGCTGGAGATCAGTCAAAAGAAACCGAAACTATTTTTGCTACTTTTTATTGCAAATTCGCAAGTCATGAGTCCCTAAAGGCATGCACTTCTCTACACAGAGCAAATACAGTCATTGCGAGTCACTGGGTTTCATTTCTCACAAGTCAGCAAAATAAATGCGACAAAGTACGCAGACAAGCATTTAAAATGCGGACTGTAAAGTTCAATTATAAAATTGATCAAATATTTGTACGACTGAAGACTTCCGGCAACACGTTAAACACAGGTCCGCCATAGATCCGTTTGTCAGTAAAGCTGTAGCTATCGCATCACACGATCTTCTAGTAAACTTAAGTGTGCATAGTAAACTTTTTTTACTTCATTTTAATTGCATTAAAACAATAACAATAGCTGTATTCATCATTATTATTTTTTTGGAATCTATCATAGTGGATTACTTTGGACTAAGCGGTGTGACCCTGGATCAATTACAAGGTACGAAAAGCAGCTAACGGGGAATAATGCCGTGATCAGTACGCAGCTAGAATCCGTACGCTAGGTTAATACCAAATGCAACGAACTTCACTGCTGAAATTAGTCGTCAGCACCGAAATGAAAATGTTCTCAATTGCAAAGAACCCAATTGAATATCTGCTGCCCTCTAGAGGATGCTACGGGACTAAGTGCAACTAATCGAAACATTGTATTGCAAGGGAAAGGTCCCAGTGACAGAGCAATTTATAAATGAAATGTGGGAAATGATATCGTTACTACAAAACGATGTAAGTTCCCATCGCTGTGAAATTTATTGTAATATTCCCTAAAATTGCATTCCTATCACAATACAATAGACCTACTTTTCATGTTCATAAACCATGAAGGAAGGTGTTATATTAATAATAATTCCTTATACGCATGACACCCCCCTCCACCACCACCAATGTGCAGCATCCACCTGGATGATGCGATGGCAGCCATAGTCCAACAGTACGCTGTGTACCATTACACATCAGTGGGGAGGAGAGCAGAGTGATGACGCCAATTCATAGATCGGGATTATTAGGAGGCCATGATTGGTAAGGGCCAATGGGAAATTTGGCCAGGACGCCGGGGTTACACCCCTACTCTTTTCGAGAAGCGCCCTGGGATTTTTAATGACCACAGAGAGTCAGGACCTTGGTTTTACTTGTCATCCAAAAGACTGCACCTTTCTACAGTATAGTGTCCCTATCACTAGACTGGGGCATTAGGAACCACACAGACCGCCGAGTGGGCACCTTTTCTAGCAACAGCCTTGGTTTTTCCCCAGATCTCCCATCCAGGTACTGGCCAGGCTCACACCTGCTGAGCTTTAGTGGGCTGCCAACCACGTGATGCAGGGTGATATGGCTGCTAGCTACTGTACTTATCACTCCAGTATTACTGCTAACATACTAACACGTAGGGGCCCTGAGTATGCAATAGTGTTTTAAGGTATGCAATATATTGACATAAATATCTAGGCATGGAAATACATGGAAGTAAACAGGACGTGACTCTTAAGTATGTTAAGTTAGGGGTGCCACTTACTGTAAATGTTTGTTCTCCTGCGGTATGTATTTTGAGGGGATGGCAAACTGGTGGTTCAAAGAAGGCAGGAATATTTAGTACAGTGGGTATGATGTGTTAGCTTATGTAGTTAAATATACAGGTTTATAAAAAATATCCCAGTCAGGGCTCCGGTAGCTTAATCTTCGGACAATCAGGGTCGTTATCAAAACTGTAACAAATCAAAAAAGTACAACAAATGTAACACGTGAAAGTGCGTGAGGTTTACCTTCATAGTATTTCGCTAGCATAAAAGTAGACTAAGTCTATTATAAAACCTGAATTAGTAATGTGTACCATCTCTACCAGCAAGCCTATCAACGACGAGTACTATGTCCTGTCCTGATGTCCTGATCTTTTCCGTCTTTAGAATTTTCGAGATGATTGACCTTGACGTCTCTTTTAGCCTAAATCAAGTACTGTACATTGAGATTAAATATAATGAAAAGTGATATATAAATTAAATGTATCATATATATATATAAATGACCCACATAATAACTAACTGATACAAACAACTCATATATTCCGAATCAAAACCACGCTCAGTTTCTGCTTGGTAAAACAACAGCTTAGTCTACAGTACCTTCCTAAGAGACCAGCTGGTCTCCCACTCTGGTCAGCAGAATATTTTCGTTGCAATTGAGCGGACAGCTGGAAACGTGACGAGACAGTACCCTACTAGCTGGTACTGAACTCAGCACGCAGCTGCGTACTAAATCGCCACGTTCGTTTCAATCGACCCTTCTTTCGCGGACAATATTTACAACACATTAGTTGAAACAATTAAAACATTTGACACCGAAGCACCATCTGGTGGTTATTTTGCGAATAACACTTTTCAGAATTACATCAGATGCGTGAACAGATCATTCATCATTGATCAGCCGTCTCAACTCTATTCCTCTACGGGGCCTGTTTTGTCAGTGTCTTTACATCAGGAGAGGTCACTCTCCAATGGTATTATTCCCCATTTTCTACAGCTACAGACCCGGACTTGTGATTTGTGGCCAGGGGTGAGAAATCGACTCCATGAATAAAAGAAAATAATTTGGCATTGATTGTGCCTCTATTCATAAAAATAAATAGTTTCATCTCTTTGTAGTGACTTGACGATTTGAAGTTGCTTATACAGAAACTCAGAGAGTAAATTAAGGAAGATTATCTTGTGGCTACTAGAAATCTATCAATCAGAACAAATCAGTTGACCGTATTTCAGTCAGTTGACAGCTGCAGTCTGAGTCCAGATGTGTCTCCCTCTTGGAGCTGTAGACTGAGAGGCACTGATTTGGGAACTTAAACGCTGGAGCTGTCAGGATAAGCCCAATTTATGGTGTCTCAGCTTGGGTTGCCCAGGCAATTCTGCTTATCAGAGGCCCATCTCAGTAAATTTCCTAAGAGACTGAGCCAGAGGAGTTCAAGGGTATTTTCAGTTCATGTTATGGAGGTAAAACAACTTAAAAAGTTTAGAAGCAGGAAGCCTTTCTTTTGCTTTGCCAACTGTAGCCATAAAAGTCTTAAAAATTGCATTAAAACTGCAGACATGACATGATATACAAAATGGCAAGATGTCAAATATTTGCCACATTACAGTGACAAAACATCCAACATGCTGGCTTGGGGCATTTGTTGCACAGTGTTTTCTAACAGCTCATATTTGCATGCATGTAGATTAGTAAGAGACTGGGAAGTGTGGTGCAGATAATAGTTACAGCTGTGCTTTAAAATACTTCCATAAGGCCTTTCCACACAGCATGTCTTGTTAACCACCAGGGTTCACTGTTGACAAAAGTTATAAATGTGTGCTTATGATTGACTACTAAAGGATACTGTAGGTTGCAGAAATGCTGTCTTTTAACAGGACAGTTATTCCTTAATTACCCTCTATCACACAGATCTGATGTCCATCAATTAAATTTCTTTACACTATCCTGGAGTATTATATCTAAATGTAAGTCATTTAAATATTTTGGAACAGACTGGCATTTTATTTTCATTGTCAAAGTTATTGAGTGCAAAGTACATTTTCTAAGACATTTATAAGAATTTGCTTTCTCAGACATACAGTAGCAGTGCAGAAGTATTTAAGCACTGTTGATTTGAACAGAGAATCACGATTAACTAAAGAACATGGTCTATTGTGCAGTCATTTCACCTTCTGTTTGAACAATAAGTTCCAAAGGTATCTGGCACTGACATGCTGTTGCAAAGCAAGCGCTGCAGTGTCAGTTTCACTGAACACCGCTGTCACGATAGTCATCCCTCCTCTTAAGGGCGCTCCGACCCTTTCGGATTTTAGTCCCCCTGTCCCCTGTTTAGCCTGTCAGTATTCAAGCCTGGCTCTCCCGCTATTCCTGGCTCACCATTGGAAGATGGATGCCCGGAAGCCCACCTACCAGCAGGTCTCTCTGAGTTCGGGGCTTGGAGTATTTGGTAAATTACGATGGACATCATGTTTCTGCTGGCAACCTGAATGAGGGATGTTGTGTATCTTTTAGTATATAAACTATTTAGCCTGCAACAGTATGTATCAGATACTGTCTGTATTGTTTAGTTAATACCACAGGCCCATCACTCATCAGCAGATGCTGCTGGTGGTTTCTGCCTGACCATATTTTTTTCAGCAGTGCACTGAGTTTGAAGTAAAAGACCACAGAGAAAGTAAATCAATTTGTTTCAGACGCCTTGTGTGATTTAAAGATGCCATACCATTGTGATGGGGAAATTAATGATTTGCCTCAGTATCTGGCAAAGAAACCACAGCTCAACGTGATAGGTACAGGTAAAGACTATGCAAGGTTCTAAGTATTGTAAAAGGAACTGCATTGTTCCAAGCATGAGGTGACATGTCCTGTCCTACCTCCATGGAGTTGTCTTTGTGAAGTCAAGTTATAAATCCTTGTAGCCAAAGCACAAGAAATAAACAGAACGTACAAATACAGAGACATTTAATAAAGCCGCATTTATAGGCGTTCACCAGTCAAATATGATGAAGCCTGATAAAGTCATCCACCCCATAAACTACAGGAAAAGCTCTGGGGAAATAAATAGTAATATTGGTTTTCAGATGGCGTACAATAGGAACTTATGTACCGTAAGACTTTATCTGACTTCTACGTTGCAGCTACACCAATGTACATAATGGACAACAGCCGGTTAACTTGTTCTGTGTGGACTGACTTACCACAAGTGCATATTCCAGTACTAGAATGATCCTTTATGACAGAATAGACTGTCACAGCAAAATACATTTTTACTTTATGGATATATTGAGGGTGGGAAATAGACCCGGAAGTCAAATCATTTCGTTATAAGCTTTGTATGAAAAGTTTACAACGCAAATAAAGGAGAATATTTTAACTATGTTCAAATTTGCCATACACACAAGTAAGTGAAATCATTCTCATTCCCCTTCTGTGCTCTCTGGCTCAGAGTACAATACACATCTCCTCTCGTACAGTCATTGTCACCCTATGTTATTACCATGAGTGGGTGTTTATGAGTAGCTATTGCTAGTTGTGACCATGGAAAATTCTTCATAGAAAAGCTTCCACTTTTGGGCTAGTGGCTATTCCTGATAATGTTATCCTTTCAGCTATCCCTGAGATGTCACGCACAGCGTTTTTTCTACAAACTATTGTTTTGTAAGTCATGCAGGATAAATGTTTCAGCTAAATAAAAACAGTAATCCGTTTTCTCATATTTATAGTAGCAACTGCCAAAAACCTGTCAGAAGGATGTAAACTGATACATTTTCATTTGCACCATCTTCACAAAGACTTTGGAAAAGGATTTGTAGTTCTCACAGCACACTGCTATCAGGCTGTGGTCAGCAGCACTAGTTCTCCAGTATCAAGTTCCTGCAAGTTTTAGCAGCAGCTTTCAAATAGCACTTGATTAAGACCCGGATTTAACTTTTTGTCAGCTCAGTTCAATTCAGTCATTTAAAGTCTGAGATGAAGTGGAAACCAGAAACTATAGTGGTACTCTAGGAAAAGTTACCTACGTCTGGCCATCAATTTCCATCTCTCTAGGTCTTAGATCTCTGTGTATTCAACACTCTAATATCCCATTTTGATTATATCGTACTTCCAGGATAAAATAATTATTGATTTCCTGGAATAGATGCTTCCTAGACATTAGGGACCAGGAAAGCCAATGTACTATGAATGACTCAGGCCACAGGCTGTTCCTTGCTGCTGGTACTCCAAGGGTTATAGAAAGGCAAGATGAAGTAGCAATCATTGTCAACATAAGTCATTGGCTCTTGAGAGTAACCCTGAGCAGGAACATAAGGATAGAAGAGGCAGACAGTTTTCTTGCAATTTTGGACAGTAAAAACAAGAAAATAATACTAAGCTCAGGTAGCATGGTAGCACAGTGGTTAGCTTTGCTGCCTTGCAGTACTGGGGCCCTGGGTTCAATTCCTGACCTGGGGTTCGATCTGGGTGGAGTATGTATATTCTCCCCATGATTGTGTGGGGTTCCTTCAGGTACTCTAGTTTCCTCCCACAGCCCAAAACTGGGACTGTAGGTTAATTGGCTTCTGGGATAAACTGGTATATCGGTCTTGGTGTGAATGCTTGTGTTTGTGTCCGTGTGCTGATGGACTGGCATGCTGTCCAGAGAGTATCCTGCCCTGTGCCCATTGCTTGCCAGGTTAGGTGTTGGCTCCCCTTTGACCCTATATTGAGTAAAATGGATGGCTGGAATACTATGCTAGAAACCCTACCCAACCAGAATGTTGCCATTATTGAAGGGATTCTGGGAAAATTAAAGCATTATTGTTAGTAAAGAGAACAGGTAAGGACTTATGAAATTGATATTGGGAGAATAATTATACCCTAGTGGATGCAAACAGAAGAGAAACAGCAAAGAGTGTAGAATACAAGGCAAGGTAGGTCATGATGAAACTGTGCAGTATACTAGATAGAAGTGTGTTAGTTCTCCCTCCAGTCTCTTATCTCAGAATTGAAAACGAGGATCGTACCAGGCATACAGGATCAAGGGTATCTCTTGTGCTATTCAAACACTGATTGCATAGCTCCAATTTCGTGTTTACTAAAGGTCCTGTACAAGGCAAATGTTTCCTGGTTTATGTATCACAGTGACCTTGAGAATGTGTGAAACTCACAGCTTCACAAACACGGCTGAATACAACAGAAAATGAGCTGCATAAAAATCAGAACATCCAGGCACAGAACAATTGAATACAAAAATGCTGTTCCCAGTGTTTCCAACTGTTGAAACATTTTCCAAACCTAGAAGATAAAAAGCTGGAATTTCTGGTAACCCTGGTGAGACAGTGTACAGTGAAAACAAGTTAATGTTGTCATTGTTAGAAGCCCATTATTACAGCACTGAAGCCTTTGCTAAACATGTCTGTTCGTCACCTTTTAGCATTTCATTTAATTAGATACGTTCTAATTTAGGTTGTAGTTTGTTTTCTGTATTTATATGGTTTAAAACAATGTACAGCAAACTTAAAGGTTTGGTATGTGTTGTAGCTTGTGATAGCATAATGTTTAAGCAATGGTAAAACAAATGTTTATATCTTTAACAAAACTAATGTTTTGCTACATAATAATATTTAAAACCTTACAGACAAACCAGAACAGGTCACCTAAGCCTATCTGTGCCTGAAACATACTTTCAAGCATCACACATGAGATCCAACCAACTACTAATACCGTTCAGAATTTACTAGAGGAGTTATCAGATTTTTTTCAGTATTTGGTGATGGGTTTCCAGTCAAGCAGATTTGTTCTTTAATACAATTTAACTTTAGTTGGTTTTAAACATGTTTTGATTGGCTCTGTGATGACTGTCCTTTATCATTTACTTCCTGTGTAGAGTATAGTTTGAATCATCAGAGCTGAATGGTAATTGTGAGAAGTTTTTTAAACTAGTTTTTAAAAGTACACTTGAGGTGAGGTGTAAAATAAAGTATTAGAATGAGGTGATTAACGAGTGTTTTATCTTTTGTTATATAAAGTGGCTTAAAAACTCCAACAACATTATCACGTACCAGTACTTGTTTTCCTATTTTTGCCTCTTATGCAGAAACTTGCTAGTGTTAAACTGCTTATCTATCCCTAATGATTGTACTGTACTTCACCCACAGTGCCTAAGGCGTATCTTTTCACTAACGGCAGACTGTCTGGAGAAATCCAGGCCATACTCAATGAACAATCTGAATAATCTACCGAATAACACATACCGAAACAGCTGGTATCAATTTTATGTAATAGGGTGAGTAATTTTAGCCACTTTGTGGCTAAAATTGGAAAATCACATTGATTTCCATTCATTGAGATAGCCTTGCTAAATGTGATGGCTACAGGTAAAGGCTATGCAAGGTTCTAAGTATTGTAAAAGGAACTGCGTTGTTCCAAACATGACATGGCATGTCCTGTCCTACCCCCATAGAGTTGTCTTTGTGAAGTTATAAATTATAAAAGCCAAAGCACAAGAAATAAACAGAACATGCAAATACAGAGGCACCAAATAAAGCCACGTTTATATCAGAACAAAAGAGAGCATGTCCTCCCCCCCTTATACAATTCCACAATTATCTCAAATGCCTTACTTACCAATCAACTTCTAATTATTTCAAAATACAATCCCACATTAGTATCGACAAACTCCTCAATTATCTCCAGCTCTGCGTATCGCAAGGAGCATCTTCCATCCATTCTCTTTTCATTTCCGAGAAAAGCCTTATTATGTCTCAATTGTAATGCCAGTTTCTTTTTTACCTCCATGAAACTTGACCAGAACCTGGAATTTCCACTTCCAGTTTTTCTTTTTGGATAGGCATATCCTGCTAAGCCGTCTCTCAAAGCATTCCCAACTACCTCATTACTTGGACACTGGTAATCAGATTCTTATTGTGCACACAGCACAACCAGTGTGGGTGTTCTGAAATGGGCATCCTTCTATCTAATTGTGCAAAGACATCCAACAGCTCAGGCCACTCAGTGTGCCATTTCTCCCAGTGTCTTCAAATTTCTCTTTAGATCTTTTCTGCACTGTAGGTTTGGTATCCCACTTGAACCAGCCCTAGGTTCTTTTAGAGGTCCTACTCACAAGCAGATGATGCCAAATTTCGCTTAAGCATTCACACTTTCTCAGACATTTAATTCTGGGGCATTATTATTCTTCACAAATTCAGGAATTGTGATCGTATACATTGTGCTCCTGAAATTATGTGTGATTGGATGCCCTAAAACATGACATGCAGGTGAAAAGTTCCCCCCTAATAATAGTAATATAGCAAAGCTTTCTTCTGTATTCTTAAATGTTGCAGCTGCCCCCTGCTACTGGCTGTCTGGGATCCAGATAACATTCTGCACACTTGCTTGGGTAAATTTAGAATGTCAGAAAGATAGAATTACCACAACTCATTCCAGGCAGTAATCAAATGTGTTAAATATTACTATTGTTCTGTCTACCTAATGGTCTTGCTTACAGTGAGAAAGGAGGAAAACCTCATGATCCTCCAGTGATGTAATCTACATGTTGGCGCAGTATTATAGGTGGGCCTGGTTGTAGCAAACCTTAGTGTTTGCGGAGTAAAAACTGCCTTGATCCCAAATCGAGCGTTATCTAAAATAAACATAGGATTTAATCTCCATTGGATGGGGACATTATTATGCTGAGTGCTCCTGTATATATGGGAGAAATGTGTGACTGGTGGCCATCACAACAGGCAGAGACCAGTAAAGTCACTTGTGAAAAAGGCCATCAACTTTGGGAAGATGACGTACCTAACCTTAGGATTCTGTCTGCTCATGGTTTCAGCTCTGATCAAAGAGGTATGCAAAAATCTACTTACTGCCCATTGTGATCTCCAGGCCTGATGGTGTTTATTTATTTTCTAGCATGTTTTTATTGCAGCAGTATTTTCATGTGAGGTTCCTGCTCTGGTTTTGTGGAATCATATATATAATTAATACAGAAACTTCATGTATTCTTTCCTTCAAAAAAGAAATACCCATGAAAACAAAACAAAAAAAACATTGATTTAATTGAATCATTGTCTCATCCTACCTGGGATTGTCTCACTGTTGGTCAGTTCTTAGATGCCTTGTTATGTCTTACAGTATTTGGCTCTCCAGTGTGTGACAAGATTGTGGCAGAACCTGCACAGCAACAAACAAAAAAAGTGCTTACGAACAGCTTTCAGGAAAAACATCATGACATAAATCCAAAACTGTAAATACAATTAGTAGTGGTAACACAAACTAAAACTTTGTTTTTTGATAAATAACTTCTGAGTATGGACGTTTTTTTAATGTTAGAAAATTCTGATTCTATCTGTAAAAAGTGATTTTTTAACATAATGTTTGGTTTCTTTAACAAGTATTGTTTTTATTGTTTCATTGGAAGCAATCATTTCGGTGAGTGGATTGAACCTGAAAGTAATAAAAGACAATCCAATAATAATATCTATGTTAGTTCTAGTATCTATGGCTTAACAAAATCACCAATCCATTGTAGACACTTTTTGAGTGTGTATTTGCTAGTGTGGTTTTTATACTGATAATTTTGTTGAAGAAATTTTAATGATAATTTTCTAGACATGTGAAGCAAGTACAGGATTAAATGCATCTTTCAGTATTTGCATATATGGCATTTGGTAATATTAGTATTTCAGTATATAACTATATTGGTAACAAATTATTAACTAATTATTACTTTATCAGTGCTTCAAGTTGGTGCCCTTGAGGTTCACAATATAGGGAACTAAGATGAAAACTACCAATTTCAAAGCAGACAAATGTTCCTTATGGAAGAACTTTCAGCTGGCAGTCTTTCTGTTACCTCAGACAAAACCTTAATCTTAGACAGAGACAAAGCATCGAATATATTGTATCTCTGTAATAAAGCTGGTTAAGTCTACATCTAATTATAAAGAAGCTGCCAATAATTGAACCCAAATCAATTTCTAAAGCCACATCAAGTATTTAAAAATCTCTTTGATTTGATCTCTTTTGAGAGACGTAAAGAACCGAAGGAATACTGTGGGCATTAGTATATTGAGGTTATATAAAATCAATCTCAAGGCGTTAAAAGATTCAAATTTAATTACTTTATTGAATTTGTCATCCAGCAACAAATTTCTTACACAGCTAAAATGAGCTATACTCTAAGTTAAAAACCCGTTGTGCAGTGATATTTTCACTTGGTAGATTTTGCAAATATGTTAAATAATCTTAGCATTTAGAAGACCTTTAGGATTCTTAGCTTGGGAAATTCGTTATATATAATGTCTTTCTATATTTTAAAGTGTATATGTGATGTTTATATACCATACAAATACTGTTTTAGTTTCTGTTATAACTGAGACTTTCTCAGTTGTTGTGGCTGTGAATTATAATGAAACCTTTCAGAAATATGAAAAGCACTTTGCAAACCAGACTTCCTTGTCGATACCAGTTTTTGTCTTTATCACCTTTATCGGTTGAGGGCTCTGAGTTTTGAAGGAGTGACTTTTCAAAAGGTTCTCTGAGAATTTTATTATGATTTATACGCAGACTGACACAGCTGTAAAGACAGAAGACAAGCCCGTCGCAACCACAGCTAAAATCCACACTAACGCCTCAACAACTCCCAAGACCTCACACACCACGGACATGCCCAAGACAACACACCCGACCCACAAAACAACTAAGGCCACCACTAAAGCCACTTCCAAGAGCTCCCACACCAGCATACACGTGGACAAGACAACTAAAGGAGGGAGTCCAGCCATCATGACTTCTTACACCCTCCTTCTTGGATCCCTGGCCTCCACCCTTTTGTATCTCCTCCTGGGCTGAACTTCGGCAAAGCTGCCTTCCTGAACTGGCCCCAGCAGTGCCCTTCCTGAGACTGTCCTGAATTTGTGATCCATTTCTAAGACGGGCACAGCCTTCGAAAAGGTTTCTATTTGTGGTAAATTTTCATTTTTATAATCCTTACCAGCAGCTCCACAGACTCAGTTCAGAGCTAAAAAATAAATATGCTAAAATCATAAAAAAAAGAATATCAGTAAGCTTGTTCTTGAAGGCGCCCCTCAGTGTCTGATCTAAATGGAAATCCATTCTTCATACAAAGGTACTAATAAACAGGAATTGAACAAAATTGTTGACAGATATGTCCACATATCTCACACAAAATGAACAATGTGTTTAAAGAGTAACCTGGGCAGTCTTGGGCTTGGACTGGGGAGCTAAAGAATCTCAGCTAGCTCCACTATATGAAGGAAGAAAAGCTATTGCAGTCGTATACAGGTACATTATACATTCTAAGATATGCAATATTATAAATTTCTGATGTTGGCATTAAAAGACTTTCTTTGCTTTGTTTTGTGCTTGGGCTCATTAGTGCACTGTCCATTGTGTAGATACAATCCTGCATCAATGTATGGGTTTAGCCTGAAAATAATCAAAGATGATACAATTTTAATATCCATGTTAGAAATCTTCTGTTAAAATTACCTCCTCACTATTTTAACGACAACACATGAAAAAGAGAATATTACTGGTTATGTACCTGCTTGTATGAATACTACGTCTGCCATGTGTGGAGGATTATCTACTGTAGGGTCCAATAATTGATGTAAGTAGTGTTAATATATACAGTATACAAATGCGACATTTAGTCTGCTACACTTTTTTGCAGGTTTTTACAATAAAGCCTTTTTCACTATGCAAAGTACTGTTTCCAAGTTACACAACTCCAAAATGAGGCACTGGCACTTTATATATAGTATGTCCAGTTAATCAGAAAAACAATGTAAAAGAGGTTGTCTTTTAGCTGAAAACTTTGAGGGGTGCAAATAATAGGGGGATTTGATTTCTATCTTCTGTTCACTCCATGTCCTTGAGGACCACTGTCTTTTGATTTCATTCTGTCCTGGGATTTTATGGAATTCATGAATCAATTGTTTTTACAGAGGAGAACATTTCAATACATCTTGAAAGTAATTCACTTTTCTAGACCCACCTGTTACTGAATTCCCTGTGACAGTGGATGTTCTTCTAAGCATGGCAAATTACCATTGGCAATATATGAGCATCATTTTAAATGAATTCTAATTGGGATTATACTGTATGTCTTACTCTAATGTTTTAGTGAGTGACCTCACTATTAAGAGACAGTAGGCTAACTTTACAGGTAACTGCTGCTCTGGCTTCTTTTACCCACTTGAGAGAGTGCTATGAACCAGAAAAAGGTTACATTTACAATAAATTAATTGCTATTCATTACAAATGAAAAGCATAAAGTTGTATTTAAACTGAACAACTATGGTGATATTAATGGTTTGTCACCAATAACATGGATTTCCTATCTGTATGGCATATTATTGTTAAAAAAGAAACAATTCATATTCAAACATACTGTAACAACAGAAGGAATTTCCAGTGGATATTAAATTAAATGTTGTTCATTATACAGATTTGAAGCTCTGAAACTAAACATATTTTATGTTTTTTGCAGTTAAGATACAGTACAGTAAGTAGCCAAGTTGTATGTAAGTGAAAGACATACTGGAACACCAGTTTTACAGGTTTTGTCTCTGAAGCAGGACATTAAAAAGCTTTTCTCAACACTCATATACTGTATATACACATGTATACGCCCAATATACAGCACTACTTCTGTAAGTCACACACCAACAGTATTTCGCAGGTCCACTTGCAATATTGGAGTACACTGGTCTGATACCCTTCTGACAGGTCACATCGCTATGGGTGTATTTCGATTGACTGGCCACCAGATTTGAGAAACACCAACAACACTCTCATTGCACAGCAGTGTAATCTATTCTACTTTTCACGAATTAAAGGCTATTGTTCAAAGCCACAATCAGGACTCTGGGCATTTCAGATTTTTTTTTTTACAATTTCTTGGCAACAATTTTAGAGTTAACTCCTATGCACTGGCAGTCTGATTGATGTCCTTCTGTTATGGCCTGAAGGTCACGTGGTTTTCAGATAACAGCCACAGTCACTGTAACCAGGCAAGCGCTCAGAAGTGCTGAGTTTAGATTAACCGGTCTGTACAGGTCGATCTGCATCTTCCTGGATCACATCCATCCATTTTCATTTTCTAGACACTTCTCCCTAGTTCAGAGGCACAGGGGAGCCTATCCTGGGAAGCAGGGGGCGCAGGATGCCCATCCACCACTGGGCAGAAACAGAGACACAAACACACGCATACACACACTCCCACTCAGGGTCAATTTCCCCAGAAGCCAGTTAAACCACCAGCATGCTATTGGACTAGGAAGGAAAATGGAGCACCCAGAAGATACCTGTACAAAAACAGGGAGAACACACAAACTCCATGCAGATGTTACTCCAGGAACTGCACTCAGCAATACTAACCATTGTGCCACTGTGCCACCCTTAGATGCTACAATCTTTAGGAGATGTTGCTCACAAAGTAAATTGCATTTTATTTTCATACATTGGCCTTCTTTCCTCTACAAAACTATACAGGCTTAATAAGTTACTTATGAAGTGTAATGAGATTTCCTGGAAACACATGTTTTTTTATTCGTCCGTGCTGAATCTGGAAAGCCTTGCATGACTCACCAAGGTAACCCACAATATACGGTATTTAAGGCCGGATGCACCGGACGGTTGTCAGCCTGACCTTCAGAGGAGCTGATAGAGACACTATCAACACATCAGCACTATTCAGGACAGCAAGATGAAGT